GGGGATCGAGTCCACAACCCGGGCCTGTGCCCTGACCGGGAATCGAACCTCAACCTCCTGGCTCACAGGTCATTGCTCAACCCCTGAGCAGCCGGCGGGCTTCTCGGCTCTCTGGGATCTGTTTTCTGTGCTCTGGCCTTGGCCTTGATTTTGCTCCTCAGCCAGTCTCTTCTTCCCCAATGTTTTTTGTTTTTCTGATGTGAAAATCAGCCCACGTTCATTCTGCAAAGCCAAGGTTGCCAGGGAATGACCCTGAGTGCTCCCTGCTGACGGGCGTCTTCTGGGAGGGGCGTCCGCAGTCCCTGGCCGGTTACTGGGGCTGCCCTGGGGGTGGGAGCAGGGGCTGAGGGGTCCTCTCCCTGTGACCTTGGCCTCCCTCATTCAGACCTGGCTCTGAGGCCGCCCTGGGCTGTGGTCTGCAGCTGCCTCCCAGGGGCCCTGGCAGGACAGGATGGTTCTTGTGGCCTATTGGGAAGGCGGGGGGAGGCGGGGTGGCGAGCGTGTGGTTAAGAAGAATGCTCGTGGGTCTGGCTGCAAACCCCAGGGCTGTGTTTACTGTTATGTGACCTCGGGGACGTGTCTGCAGCCTTTGAAGCCTCCGTGCCCACATCGTAAAGTGAGATTAATGCTAATTCTCCCTCATGGGCTGGTGGTGCCGGCTCAGTGGGACCAGGCGGGTCCCGGGCTTGGCACTGTGCCCCGCGCCTGGTGAGGCTGGAATAGGGCTGCTGGTAACTGTCCGTGGGATCCTCGCTCGGCCTCGGGAATCCAGCATCCAAGAGGCTCTCGTAACCAGCTGCGGCCTTCTGTCCGCTCAGGGCATCAAGAAGCCGTTCACCGAGGTCATCCGTGCCAACATCGGGGACGCCCAGGCCATGGGCCAGCAGCCAATCACCTTCCTCCGCCAGGTGAGCGGGCCCTCGGAGGCCGAGGCCAGGGGCGGGCGGGAACAGGTTGGGAGGGCCGGCGTCTCCTCTCACCTCTGCCTCCCTCCCTGCCTGGCAGCCCCTCAGGACGAGGCGGGCACCAGCAGCCCAAGGGGGGGACCGTGAATTAGCGGCCTCCCAGCGCCCACTGTCTCTGGTTCTCTCCCTCAGCCCCGCCCCTTGCATGGTTGTCTGAAATTCCCGAGCCCCGGGGGGTTGGGGGGCTGCTCTGGTGGACCAGGTCCCAGGGAGGCTCTGCCCAGGGTGGGGTCCTGGTTGCTGAGTTTAGAGCTTGGCTGGTGAGGGCATTGGAAAGGGGGGGGTAGCGGGGCTTCCCGGGTGGCTTTGGCAAGCTCACCCCGTGCCAGCCACAGAGATGCTGCCTGGGCCAGAGCTGTGGGGCGGGTGGGAGAGGGGAGACGCTGTGGGGTCTCCAGGACAGAGGCCGAGACCAGCGGGGGCTGGCGCTTTCCCCACAAGGAATCGGAGCCCGTGTGGAAGCAAGACATGTTCCTCGTGTGGCTTCTGGTCCAGGTGGGGCGGGCGGGGAGCTGGACACCCGGTTCCCCTTCCCCCGCCCTGCTGTCTGGGTGAGGGATGGGGTGGGGGCTCGGCCTGCAGGGAGCTCCCACGAGGCTGCCCCTGCACATCAGCTGGGCCAGGACAGGGCAATGGATCGGCCCAAACGGGCTGGCTCCCCTGGGAGGTCGAGGCTGAGGAGGTCGGGGTCCTGGTTGCCCTGGAAACACGGGGGTTGGAGGGGTGGGGCCCAGCAGAGGGTCTCCCCTGGGGAGTGTACCCCTGGGGCTCCAGCAGCATAGGCGCCTGTGGCCTCAGCCTTTGGGGGCGGACTGGCATTTCCAGACCCCGGCCTGCAGGGCCAGTGGAGGCCCGGCCCCTCCAGCCCCCCAGCTCCCCGCAGGGCCCTGGGAGGGGTAGGCCAGGTCAGTTTTCCCCAAAGGCCGAGAAGCCGGGCTCCAGGTTGCCCAGCTGGAGTCAGAGCCACGTGCCCCCTCAGCGCACCTGACCCGGCTCCTACGCTCCCGCTGGGACCTGCCCCGGAGCTGGGTTTACTGGCCGTTTGGCAAACATTTCCTTGCTTCATCCTCTTAATCTGTGAGGTTAGGGTGGGTTTCTGTTTCAGAGACAGAAAGCTGAGCTGGTCTTCCGTTCAGGCCAGGAAAGGGGTGATGGTGAG